ATCCCCGGTTATTTATTTCATTTCGCCGCATCCGGCAGCGTTGCCATGGGAACGCGGCGGCAGCCCTGGCTGGATGCGCTTGTCTAGACGCTTCGCCCCAGGAGCCTGCTGCCGGCAACCTGCTCCTTGGGCTGGACACGGCCCAGGGCGGGTGCACCCCTGGGTGCGAGGTCACCGGCTGCACCCATCCCCAGGACCCTGCGAGGCCCCAGCACCCCTAGGGCTGGGTCCCCTCCAAGCCCTGCACCCCAGATCCATGCCCCTGGCTCCATCCATCCATCCATCCATCCATCCATCCATCCATTCCCGGGGGGTCCATGCCAGGAGGGCTGGGAAACGCTGCCTTGGGGTGGCCAGCAGCTGTAATACTAATAATACTACTAATACCAAAATCCCCTAAATGTAGCCCAAGGGTTGCGAAGTGCCCTTTGCACAAGGCAGATTAAACCCAGCCCCCTCCTCTTTTGGCTCCATCGTAGAGAAGGGAAACTGAGGCACGGCACGGGGAGACTCCCCCCAAACCTTCACAGTGCTCTGAGGTGCCAGGAACACCGAAACCCGGGGCAGTGGCTGTTCCCACGCAGAAAGGGATGCTCCATCACCACCCCTGCCTCCTCCTGATTTACATCTGCTAAAACAAAACCCTGAGCCACCGCTGGGCCCATCCGCTCCCAAAACTTCAAGTTTTGAGTAGATTTGGCTCTTGCTGGCTCCGACATCCCTGGCAAGGACCTGCAGTGGGTCATTACCCCCAGAGGAATTTTGTTAGGGTGTTTTTTTCCAGCAAACAGCACAGATTTCAAATTTCCCCACAAGCAGGCAGGTTTAACTCTAACACAATATTATATCTATTTAACTTTAATACAAGATTGCATCTATTATTTGCACCGTCCTATAAACGCTGAGACAAGACTTTTTTTCTTTCTTTTGCCTCCCAGCAAGGAAACATTTCCATGCCGAGAGAAAGCCGAGGAAATCGAAGCAGCTCAATTCCCCGCTTGCCCATCAGAGGTTGGCTCTGGAGCAATGCCTTTCCGCACGACAGGCTCCATTCCCACGGGGAATTGCTCCATCCCCCTGGGAACTGCTCAGGAGCCGTGAACCCATTTCAGCACCCTCACAGTAGGGAGCCGGGATGATCCCGTTAAACCTGAGCTTGTGCCGCTCTGCAGCCACCCAGCCTGACCTTGCAAATGACCTTGAAACAACGCAGGACCCCTGGGGTCCCCTTGGTGGGGAGGACATGGGGTGGTGGCACTAATGGGATGGGGTAAGAAGGTGCCAGCAGTGTCCCTGAGGGGAAAATGTGCACCGGGGACAGCAGCAGTGCCCAGTGGCACTTTCCATCAGGGAAAACTGAGGCATGAGGCTGCAACCCTAGTGGGACACAGCCCCGCATTCCCATCAGGTTGAGGTGCTTTCACACCTGCAGGGTTGAAGCACCAAGGTCACGGTGATGGCTGGGGAAGGGCTGATCCTGCATTACCCAGGTGCTGCTGTGCTCTGCCTCAGTTTACCTGAAAAATGAGATAAGTCCTGCCCGGCCCTGCTCAGCATCACAACACACAGTATTTGCTCTCTTGGTCAGGGTGACCAGCTCCATCAGAGCAGGTCTTGTGGGGAAACTGAGGCACAGTGGAGAAGACCAGAAGGTCAAGCCCTGGAGAAAGGCTGTGCCATGAGGACACCAGGTTGAGAGCTGTTCCAAACCTGCAGAAGCAGGGCTGGGACTGCTGGGTTGACAAGGATAGGTGGGATTAGAACTGTATCTTTCTTAATTACAACTTTTAGCCTAAGTTAGTCCACAAAGAGAAATCAAGAGAAGAAACATGGGCAATGGCCAGTGGTACAGGGCTGCAGGAGGAATGGGCACAGGAGACCGATGGGACCCAGGGGCAGAATCTGGCCACACTGCCCCAGGCAGCCACAAATAGAGAAGTTAGGCTGCGGGTTGGAGCAAATCCATCTGGAAGCAGAGGGGGAAGTGAAGGGGCTGTACAGCCCCATGCCATGCCTGAATAACCTGATGTGTGCCTGCAATGGAGCGTGAACAGGGGAGCCTGCTGTCTTGTCCCTCCATCCCATCCCACCCCTCTCACACATCCCATCCATCCTATCCATCAATCCCATCCCATCCCATCCCATCCCATCCCATCTCATCCCATCCATCATACCCATCAATCTCCTCCCTTCCCATCCCATCCCATCCTATCCCATCCTATCCCATCCCATCCCATCCCATCCCATCCCATCCCCCTGTCCTGGCTCAGCTGTCTCCAAACCATCAGCAAACATCACCCATGAAAGCCAGCTTCAACAAACAGCCTTTCGGGTAAAGAAAATTGGGATTAATCACGTGCCTCAATTAGCCACAACGAGCCGTGGCTTGTCATCACGCCGGAGACTCGCAGCAGAAAGCACATTAGCAGCATGGTCACTGAGAGGCTGAGAATTAATTAAAATGGAGCACAAAACCCTAAAAAAACCCTGAGTAAATGGGGAATCACTCAGAGCAGGGGGATTTCTCCCTGCAAGTCTGGCGATGCCGAGTGGAGCCACATCCCTGACCCTGGCAGAGCACCTCTGGCACCCAGACCAGCCAGCATCTCCTCTGGTGCCAGACTGCCTGTGGGACGTAGTGATGGAGGGGACATCCCCTGCCACCCGCGGGGACCCCACCGCTCACCAACCCCTTGTCCCCCCATCAACGGGGTGAGGAAGAGCCCCACAGGTGCTCGGTGCTCAGTAACGATGGAGCCATCAACACACCACTGGGGAGGACTGACCCTGCTCCACTCCAGCCCGGGTGGGGGGAGACAGGTCTTAAATCTGGGGGATCTTGGGATTAAATCTGGAATATTTGGGGTTTACAGCTAGGTGATCTTGGGCTTCAATTTGGAACATCCTGGATTTCCATTTGAGGGATCTTTGGTTTAAGACTGGAGATCTTGGGCTTAAATTTGAGGGATTTTCATTTTACATCTGGAGGATTTGAGGATTACATCTAGGGCATCTTGGTCTTAAATTTGGGAGACATTCCTTGGGTTTAAATTTGGGGGACCTTTGGGCTTAGATCTGTGAGATTTTAGGCTTAAATTTGAGGGATCTTGGGTTTAAAATTGAGGGATTTGCATCTTAAATCTGGGTGATCTTGGGCTTAAATTTGGGGGGCACATAGGTACGGCAAACAAGATGGGAAACCAGGAGAGATATAGGGATCGTGTCCCCCTAAATAAATTCTGGGGGTGAGACACAGATAAATGCTGGGGCCGGACAAGGATGGGCAGTGAGCCGGAGCCAACCACTCCAGGAAAAGCAATTTTTGGCCATTGGAAAGAGGAGGAGCAGGACAATCCCATCTCCAAAACTTTGCAAAACACACTGGACGCTGTGTTGGGTGGGACGGGATGGATCCTGGCCAAGATGCCCCCACCAGCCCACAGTGGCCAAGCCTGTTTGGACAAGGATTAAGCCGCAGGCAATTTCGATGCTAATTCTCCGGGTTAAGTTCTTTAGACTGACATCTGCGAAAAGCAAAAGGTAATTTCCCCCAGATCTCAAATGGCGCCTCAAAGACACCGTTAATATAATCCGACAGAGGGGAGAAAAAAAAATATTAAAAAAAATCCAATTTACTGACTTATTTAGTGACACCTTTCGTAATCAATTCTCCCAGGAAAGAAATACTGATTAAAGCCAAGCGCATTGCTATGGAAACCAGCAGTCCCTCCTCCCACGACCCGCAGGCTGGGAAGAAGAAAATCGGGTGAGGAAATCTGCCTGGTAACAACCCCGTTAATGAGCCGGGGAGCAAAAATAATCCCTCGGAGTGATGCCACTGCGAAAGGAGCAGCCAGCAGCAGCCGGTGGGGAGGCGAAACCACGCGTGGCTCCCAAAATATTTATTTTTATGGGAGGGTAGAGCTTTTTGGAGGAAGAGGGGATGCTCCTGCATCCTGGATGGATGAAAGGGGCATCCAGAGGTGGTACCCAGGGGTGACTGGGTGCACCCACCGAGCCCTGCAAATGTGAGTGTTTCTTCAGCACTTATCCAATTCTTTAGCCTTAAAGTACAGGATAAACCCACCCTGAGATGCAGGTTTAAGAGATTCAGCTGTCCAGCAGACCACGAAAAGGCAGCTGCCAACACAAAAGGGATTTATATGATAAACCCCATGGGTTTCCCTCTTCTCAGGGTGATTCCCCAACCTGCAGGCAGCCACCATGCCTGGTGAGGGGCATTGCTTCCCGCCGCAGGCAGGGCTGTCATGCCTGCACTCATCCCCAGTGAACAAAACCCTCATGGGTCAGAGTTTCTTGGAGAATTGGGGATTTATTCTTATTTCTATACTGAAGAATGATCCCAAGCTCCTGGAGGAGTTTGTGGGTCTCTTCCTGGCTGGATGTGTCCCTCATCCCAGCACCTCCCAAGGACAAGACACTTGAGGCACCCATGAGGCTGGTGAGGCAAAGATAAATCTTCCCGTGGGCTGAATATAAAAGCACCCGGGCAGCCAGGGCTGGCAGTGAGCACCATGGAAGGGATTTGGCTGTTTCCCCAAGCACCTACGATGCTTTTCAGGGTGCTTTAAGAGAAAAGACCTGTGCAGGACATCATTAGTACTGTTCATTACCTAGTGAGGGATTTAATAATGATCCCATCCAGCATTTTCCTTAAATTCTCCCTATCCCCATCACTGTCACTGTGGCCAGGGTTGGGAGCGGACCCTCGCTGCTCCCCTGTGCTCGGCACTGGGGAGGCCGCCCCTCAATGAGTGGGTTCAGTGTTGGGCCCCTCACCCCAAAAAGGCCATTGAATGACTCGAGCGTGGCCAGAGAAGGGCAACGGAGCTGGGGCAGGGTCTGGAGCACAGGTCTGCTGGGGAGCGGCTGGGGGAACTGGGGGGGTTCAGTCTGGAGAAGAGGAGGCTGAGGGGAGACCTCCTGGCCCTCTGCAACTCCCTGCCAGGAGGGGGCAGAGAGGGGGGATGAGTCTCTGGAGCCAAGGCCCCAGCGCCAGGCCCCGAGGGAATGGCCTCAAGCTGCCCAGGGCAGGGTCAGGCTGGCTCTGAGGAAGGATTTCTGTGAAGAAGGGGCTGTTGGGCGTTGGAATGGGCTGCCCAGGGCAGGGGGGAGTCCCCGGGATCCCTGGAGGGGTTGAAGAGTCGGGCTGAGCCAGCACTGAGGGATCTGGGGGAGTTGGGAATGGTCAGGGTGAGGGTCATGGTTGGACTGGAGGAGCTTCAAGGTCTTTTCCAACCCAGATGATTCTGGGATTCTGTGATTCTGCTCCAGCAGCGGGGCCGTGGTCAGCCCAGGGCTGTGATCCCACGGGAGCAGAGCACCCGCCTGCTGCCGTCACCCCACCCATCTGCACCCAGCACGGCTGCAACCCGGCCTATCAGGAGGCATCCAAAGGGATGCACCATCCTAATAAAACCAGAAACCTGAGTATTTTGAACAATTCCTTTATCAAAAGAGCCGGTGCTGTAAAACCCACCGATACCTTTCCCATTCATCACAGAGAGGATTTAATAAGGCGCCTTAGCAGAGCGTGCTGTGACCACCGGCACATTATTAAATGCAGCGATTAGCAGCTGCTGCGGATGGGAGCTCATTAGAGACTTCTTAAACATCCATAAAAATTGCTTTTATTAATTGGTTCATCCTCTTTCTATACCCACCGCATTTGGAGGGGTGGATTTTGGGGTTGCTTTTTATGAGCCCCTTTGGTGCACGGTGGTAGCTGAGGAGCTCCCGGGGGCAGCTCCAGCCCAGCGTCTGCCCCGGGGCTTTCCCGCTCTGCTCGGCTGCGGCTGTTGATGATAAGGTGTGACACTGGGATGTCGTGATGGGGGACAACACCACGGCTGAGCAGGGGGACGATGCCCCCCCCAAACATCCCAAGCCCTGTAGCAAGGCCAGCACAGCTGTCAGTGCCCTGCATCCAACAGGGACATGAGCCCAGCCCCCTGGCATTGAGGCCAGTCCCACACTAGGGCAACTGATTTTCCCCAAAAACCTGTTTTTTCACCCATAACCACATGGGATGGCTTTGTCAGCCAGGTGATGGTTGCTGCCCCCAGCCATCCCCCCTTTTGGGTGCACCCACAGGAGGGATGAGGGTTTCTGTATCAAAATGTTTGGGGAAAACCCAACCCAGCAGCACCCATGGCCTAGACAAAGGACTGGGGGGGGCCTCCTGGAGTCCCCACATTGGACCCCCTCCATGGCCTGGACACAGGACTGATGCTCCCACCACTTCCTGGGGTCCTGCCATGGGTGCCCCCATGGGAAATGGGGCTCTGGGGCTCTCCCCGTGTCCCCCTACTCCATCCACTTCTCTGCTGGGTGGGGGGCACTAACCCCACCATTGACCCAGCTAATGAGGTTGCTGCTAATTGCCAGGAAAGCAGCGAGCCCGCACCCCATGTATAATTCAAGCTCCTTTGTTAGGGCTGGGTTTGCTTTGTCTGGCAAGTGCCACCTCCCCGCGGGACCCTCCCTGGCCTGGCCACCACACACCTCCTTCTTTGAGGGGGGCTTGATTAAAAATAATTAGGGCCTGGGGCTGCTGCGAGGCAGGAGGTGATGTCGTTAGCAGGGTCGGGGTCATTAGTGGGGTTGGCTTTCCCCCCTGGCAGAGGAGAAGATGGAGCAGGGAGAGCCCCTGAGCCCCATTTCCCATGGGGGACAACAGGAGGTGGTGGGAGAATCGGCCCTGTGTCCAGGCCATGGGTGCTGCTGGGCTGGATCTTCCCCCCAAATTTTGAGATGGAAATTCTCATCCCTGCTGCGGGTGCACCCAGAAGCGGGGCTGGTTTGGGGCAGCAGCACGCTGTGGGTGCCAAAGCTGGGGGCAGCACCCATCTCCTGGACAGTGGGGTGGGAGTGCTCATGGGATGATGGGGAGGACCTGCATCGATGGGGCGTAAACCAGCCCAAAATGGGTGAGGGTATCCCTAAATACAGCCCCTGACACCCACCAGAACTCCAGGCAGACACCCCAAATTTTCCATCGCATCTCCTGCCTGCGCTTCCCAGACCAGCCGTCCTTAGCACCAGGCGCGGGCACTGCCAGCACCCTGACCATCCCCAGTCCTGAGCTCAGCCCTGCAGCCCAGGGCCAAACCCAGGCTGGGCTTAAGGAGCATCAGCCCTACAAGGGGCTGCCTGAAAACCTGGTGAGGTGCAGCCTGAGGAAGGTTGGGGGCCCCAGGCATGGTGCAGGGATGTTCTCCCCCTCACACTGGAAGGGACTGCAGGGACCTGCCCCAGCCTCCACTCACCGTCATCCACACAACTGTTGAGCTTCAGGGGGGGAAAAAAATTTAAAAATATATAAATAGAGCCTTTAATAATCAATTGGTGTTTATCGAGCAGGTCATAACAACATCAGCCTGCTGCTGCCAGATTAAATCCTTGTTTGGAGCCACCAAGTCTGAGACATGATGCAAATTCCCAGGAGGGAATAAACGAGGTCTTGGCGCTGATCCTACACGTGCTTCCCCTTCCCTCCGGGCTCTGCCCCGTGTTCCTCCCAGGAGAAAGCGATGGTGATACCCTGCATGTCCCCCAGGAGCAAAGAGCAAAGGGACGTGACCATGTCCAGGGCTGCAGTGGCAGAGCTGAGAGCTGGAGGGGCCGGAGGCACGGCCAGGCTGGGCAGGGGGACCCCCACCCTTTGGGGACTGTCCCCACTCCCCGTGAGCTCCACGCCTGGTCCCAGCCCTGCAGCACTGGCCCCACAATGTCCCCACCAAAGCCCAGCTGCTGTAACCATGCCACGGGGCTCCCAGTGGTGATGCCAGAGGGATGTCACCACTGACAGACATGTGCCACACTCCAGCAATCCCCCAGTGCCATCTCCGGCCCCGGGGAGCAGACACCCCCAGACTCTCCCAAACCTCGCTGCACTCTGACCACCCCACCAGCTGCTCTGCCAGTGGTCCCCACACTGCCACAGGGACTTGGAGACAATCCTGTGCCACCCCGGTGCCTGTCACAGGGCTCCTGTTGTGTCTCCCCCTCCCCAAGCTGAGGGAAAACTATACCAGATGCTACAAAAAGGGGCCAGGAAAGGATGGTTTCGCCTGAGAGTCCCAGCAGCTGCCGAAGGGAATTGGCAACCGGCCGGTGACGGGCTGGAAGTGGCAGCAAAGGAGGGGACAGCAGGGACAGGAGCAGGGGGGGTCCCAGAGGCGCAGATGAGGATGTCGTGGCCCCAGGGAGGGTAAGGGGGACAGGGGTGGTTCATGAGCCAAAATAGGGGGGAAAAAAGAGAAAATACAAATCAGAGCCTGCAAAGGGTTTGTGCAAAGCTGCCCGGGGGGTGGGCAGGACTCCCCAGGGCTGGGGGACGTGGTTCAAGGCAGTGGGGACCCCGGCTGAACCCCACGGCCACAGCAGCAGCACCGCGCTGCCTTGTCACTGGTGGGGTGGAGGAGGAGGGAGAGGATGTGTGTGCAGGAGAGAGCCCCGAGGGGGACGGGACAAGGACTCTCAGCTTGACATTTCCAGGCAATAGCTGAGGACCACCATTAATCTGAGCCATTATTGCACAGAATTAGAAAGCAGACAGGTTTTCCCGGGGGCTCCCGTTAGCCTCAGCATCCCTCGCTGCGCTGCCTGAGCATCCTCCACTCCCACTCCGAGCACCCTCCGTTCCTGCATGCGGACCCCAAGCATCCTGCACTCCAGCCACAGCACCCTCCACTCTCACTCCAAGCACCGTCCGCTCCTCTGGGACATTTCCCAGCTGGGGTTTTGTCCCTGGGTGTCCCTGCAGAATGGCACGGGGTGCCAGGCAGAGACACACCACTCCAGCACCAGCATGATGTGCCCGTGACTCCCTGCATCCCCCAGCCCCAACTGGGACACTCTCTGAGGCAGAGCCAGGCCACCCCCAGCCCTTCGGTTTCCCTGATCCCTTCACCAAAGGTCTTTGCGCTTTCCTTCCCCACCAAGAGACCGAGGGAGGCAAAGCTGCTCTGCACCAGCCCCACAGCACCCACGGTGCCCCCGGGCTCTGCCCCAGCACCTGTGGTGGGAAAGGGCTGCACTATCGATCCAGTTATGGGAAGAGACCAGAGCAACCCAGAGTGCTAATTAGCCCTAATCAAGGTAATTAGCCTGAGAACCAAGCAGCAGGCCAGCCCTCAGAGCTTGCTCCATACCCTGTCCTTGGCTGTGTCCCCTGCATGGCTGCAACTCC